TGAAAAATATATCAAAATGCATGTGGGTACTCAAATGAAAGGTCTTGATGAGTGTAACATCGGGATGAGTTAATTTCTTTAAAAATGTCAATAGTTTTCAAGATACAAGTTTATTTCTTAATTATGTATCTAAAGATAGAGAATTTTCGAATGCAGCCTAAATACTTATAATAAATTTACTATCGATGAGCATTTCGTAAATGATACGAAACCTTGCAAAGGCACAAATTCAAGTCAAGACCTTTGCAATGACAGTAAATTCCACTAAAAAAACCGATTTTACCATATGAATATTCTAGACACAAAATTTTTCTTCTCTTAATAATATAGATTTATCTTAAATTGCAGAAGAAAAAATTACCTGAAAATTTCTGACATATCCAACCGGACAATCACTGCTACAAGCGCTCTGTGGGATATTAGCTTCACCAGATCCACCATGCCACCGGGTCATGTTTATATCCAGATTTAGTCTGTATGTATAAACACAGCATTTATAAAATAGCTTCTTATTATGCAAGTAGTTCAATATAAAATACCAAGAGTATGAATAAAATAGCTTATTGTTTATCTTCATCCATCTATTATTATTATTACTTATTACAATAAAAATATTGACAATCTGGTTACTAATACTTACACTTCTTTCCAGGAACCAATGAGATTGTAGTCGTAGCGATTCTCATCAGTATGTTGATACTGATAAATATTATAAAAGCCAAAAGCGTCGCCGTCATTGTTGAATCTTATTTCAGTACCTTGACGACCTATAAAAAATTCATGTGATATTATTAAATGTAAATATATTCACAATCTCGAAGACTAATAAATATCTGTTGGTATTATATGGAGCTCAAAAGCTTGGATATGTAGAATAATAAGTAGTGACTTAGTCGTTGGATAGTTTAAAGCTTTAAAAATAATACATACCCGTGAAGCTTACATTGCGAATATAGTGAAGAAGATGTTGTCCTGGTGGTGCTGGCGTCAGACTGTCACACAGATGGTGCACTGTTCCACGAGTTTTAACACACTCGTCGTTAATAATGTTGTGTACTGCGTGTGCCATCGCATACACAGCATCAACTAAAATATGGTACGGTATTAAATGATTTATTAATGAGCTAAATAATTAATCAACTTATCTAATATTAAGCAAGCTTAATTATTTATTCTGTCTGTTGAAGATTATTTTAAACCATGATACTGAAATTAGTAGACATCATCTAACAATTTTTCAATGAATTTATTATTATAAAAAAAATATTTTTTTAAATTCGCACTTATAATTTTTTTTTTTTTTAATTTCTTCATGTGGAATTTTTTATATTATTGAAGTTTTTATTACTGTCAATTTTTTAAATCTTTTAACAATTTAAGTAAATTAATAAAAATACTTTTAAAAATTTCCATTAATAATTTTTTTTAATTTTCACATGTGGAATTTTTTTATTTAATTTTAATCATAATAATTTAACTGCTGTAAAATTATAAAAAAAAATTTCTAGTGGCTGTCTATTTCAGTGTTATAATTTTTTATAATAATTAAGTTAGCCATCTAAAAATTTTTAGAATTTTTTTTTATTAAAAAAATTATTGCAAAAAAATAATTTTGATTTTTAAAAAAATTGAAAAACTATAAGTGCAATTTTTTAAAAATTATTATTATTTATCTATTTTATTTTAAGTCGTTTTTTGATAGCTAGGTCACTAACGACTTCTATTTACAACTTCTAATATTTTAGGACATAAGCTATATTTTATTTATGGAAATTAAGTTAGCTATCTAAAAATTTTTAGATCTTTTTTTTATTGAAAAAATTATTACAAAAAAATAAAAAAAAATTTCATTTGTAAAAAACTGTAAGTGCAATTTTGAAAAAATCTTTTTCTATTCTAATTTAATTATTGAAAAAAAAACATTTTGTTTAAAAATTTATGATACTAAAGTTAGCCGACGTTCAAAAATTTTTTTTAACAATTAAATTGCAAGTAAAAAAATACTTAAAAAAAATTGCACGTATAATTTTTAAAATTTTCTACATGTGAAATTTTTTCTTTTAATTTTATAGTAACAATTTTTCCAATAAAAATAATTATAAAAATTTTCAGATGTCAGCTAATTTAATTTTCATAAAAATTTAATGTATTTTAGGAATGAAATTGTCTTTATGCACTGTTCCTGATTGTTGAGTAGGATTTAAAAAAATATTTTTTAGTTTTAATTTAATAAATCTAAAAAAATTAAAAGCTTCGGCTAATTTTAGCAGTATAAATTTTTTTTCATTATAATTGTAAAAATCTAAAAAATTGTGAGATGTTTGTTAAATTGAGTATAATTTAAAAAATAAAATAACTTGCCTACAAATGGAACAAGGCCTTCTTGATCATAATCAACAAGCTCCTCATCACCTGTGCAGCGTTTCACCCCAGTTTTAGCTGCTGAAGAGCTAGAATTTTGCTCGATAAAATGGCACTTGTGGTGTTGAGACCAGAACTCACGGAACCATACATTACGACAGTTAACCATTTTTCCTGTCTTACTTCCTAATGGATAAGGAACATTTTTTTCCGTCTGTCCGTTGCACTCATTGCCGACTCGAGGTCTTAAATTTTTATAGTACTCATCAAAATCTACAGCAAAGATTTTTTTTAATGTATTTTTTCTTGACTTGGTGCCGACATGAGTAATGAGTTAAAGTTTAAGTTTCTATTGTTTGTCAGTTGGTAGCTTTTAATGTTTTATATACCTTTTAGAGAATTTCCAAATGGCAAGATCGTAATCGCGCCTTGAGCAGCAAACTCTTGATCTCGCACCGGATGAACTTTTGCGCCCCACGAGTCACTTCCGACCCACATAAAGTGCCCTGTTCTATTGGCACGAACAGTTGCTTGCAAAAGTTTTCTAATAAAAAATAGTTACTAGATAAATAGATGATGATAAAACTAATAACAATAAATATTCAACTCCATTAATAATAATAATGAGTAATAACTATTATTACAATATAAAACTTTTTTATTTATGTTAAATTTATTTTGTAGTTTAATTTAACGATCTGGAAGATATTTATAAGTATAAATATAGAAAAGTCACAATAAAAGAAAAAAATAAATATTAAAGATAAAAATAGAGAAGAAATAAATGACAAGAAAAAAAAAAATAAATACCTGATGTTATCTTCATCGACAAATAAAATGACGCCTCTGGCATTATGCTTAGATCCAAGTCGCTCAATAATACGATCAAAGTCCTCAGCACGTGAATTACGAAGAATTTTTTCACTTATTGCAACACATATGTTATATTCTGAAGCGAGACCAATGAAGCGGGCTATTCCCTGGAGAATATAGAGGTAAATTAAATTAGATTTTATTCTTTAATTTTATTATATTACTTCTCATATATACTTATATATATACTAGCAACCTTGCAGTCACTATGTGACTGCCGTGACTTGTGAACTATAAATAAATTAAATTTTGCTCCATTAAATAATGACTTTTGTTAAATAGCACTGTAATTTTTTAAATCTTGACATTTTTAAAGATATAAGCTCATCCCGATGTTAAACTCATCAAGAGCTTTCATTTGAGTACCCACATGCATTTTTATATATTTTTCATATATACATATATATATAATATATATATAAATAGATGAAAAGTTGATGTGGGTACTCAAATGAAAGGTCTCGATGAGTGGAATATCGGGGTGAGCTTAAATCGTTAAAAATGTCAATAGTTCACAAGATACAAGGTCATTCTTTAATTATTGACATTTTTAAAGATATAAGCTCATCGCGATGTTAGGCGATTGCTTGGCCGAGCGGTTTAAGTCTTAAACTGCCGCACAGCAGTCGCTCAGGCGAGCCCTGGCAATTGCAATTTTTCTTCTGCGATTTCCGGGGCTTGCTCCCTTGCCGACTGTACCTTGACCAGGTTTCTGTGGTTTTTCCTCGGTCATTGTGCCCCTAAAATAAGCGGGGCACAGGCAAATGCGGGTACAGACTGTAAGCCGGCCACAGCCGCAAAAACGGAGGGTCCTATTACAGGACTATATATATAGGAGGAATAGCTACAGGAGGAAATAGCTACAGGAGTAGCTTGGAGGGGGCCTGGTACTGCGAAGTAATGCTAACGCGGTCCCGCAGTATCAGGTACAAGAGAGGGGAGGGTTTTAGTGAGTAAGAATCTCACACTACCGGCAACCAACATCTCCAACATCTAGCCGGTGTCTTATGAAGATTTCCCTCCTCTCGCGATGTTACTCTCATCAAGAGCTTTCATTTGAGTACCCACATGCATTTTGATATATTTTTTTCATATATTACATATATATAATATATATATAAATATATGAAAAATTGATGTGGGTACTCAAATGAAAGGTCTTGATGAGTGTAACATCGGGATGAGCTTATATTTTAAAAAATTTCAATAGTTCACAAGATACAGGGTAATTTCTTAATTATGTATTTAGAGATAGAGCATTTTCGAATACAGTCTAAATAATTATCATCATAAATTGACTATCGATGAGAATGATATGAAACCTTGAAAAGGCACAACTCCAGGTCAAGACTTTTCCAACGATACCAAATTTAACCATAAAAACCCATTTTATCATAAAAATACACTGGCCACTTTTGCTTATTCTCTTAATAGTATAGAATAAACTTTCAATATTTCATTTTATTTCTTTCAATAATTACTTAGTTAAATTTATCAGCTCGATATTTTATTAACACATATTATTATTACTTTTTCACCGTAATCCCCTTCAACAGCGACCGTCGAGACGTACTTCCATCCGAGCTGATGTACCACTTCAACCATTGCCTGCGCTTGAAAATTATCCGGTGGTACAACTCTGCTGAAGTATTCAAAACGACTTTTGTCCGAGAGCTCTGTGCTCGTCGATGCGTAGCTCAATTGTGGGATCTGTCAAAAGGAATCGCCGAGTAGATACATTAGAGTACTAAAAATAAAGTAAAAATACGAAAAATATAAAAAAGCTGCTGTAACTAGCTGTAGAGAACTAGAACTAGAACTAGAGCTAGAGCTAAGCTAAAGATTTCTTTCTTTTTTTTAAATTATACAATTCTAGTAAGTAGTATTTATGTTAGGTAAGTACTAAAAGTTTGGTAAAGTAAAAATAATAACTTAGGGTTTGTTACAGTGTATATCTTTTCTACCTTGAAGAGCCTCAATATGTTAGCAACCATTATTGAAACGACACTGAATGATGCTCCGATAACTCCAGTGACAGATTTATGAGGCACATAAAGCGGTGCCTTACCATCTTCGCATTTATACTCGGTCATATCCTTAAAAAAATCAATGGTAATATTTTTTTGAGCTTTTATATCGAGATATTTAAATTTTTTTCTGTTCCGATTTTGTAAATGTCGGTACAAGTCTAGATGTTGATTTAATATTTCATATTTTATATTTTATATGATACTAAAGTTAGTCGACGTTTTCAATTTTTTGATTATTTTTTTTAATAATTAAATTAGAACAAAAAAATATTTTTAAAAAATTGCACTTACAGTTTTTAAAATTTTTAAAAAATGACAATTTTTTTTTCTTCTTTTTGTAGTCATTTTTTCAATAAAAAAATTCTTTTTAATTTTTAAATGTCGGCTAACTTAATTTTCATATATTTTATATTTTAATATTAATATTAATATTTATAGAAATACCTGATTCATGTATGACCGCACAAATTCCATACTTTGATCTAAAGCATATGTATCACTGCTACATGAATCGAGAATAAGTGCTCCAAGGGTGGTATTTGGTAACAACTCATCATTTCTATTGATCTCATCGATCGCAAAAAGCATTGCCTCTAAACGTTGGACGCCTTTCTCCTCTTTCACTGCTCCGCACGGTAATTCACCACTCAATCCCACAATCTATATTCCAAAATTCAATATTTTGTACTATGTGCATATATTACACACATAACATACATAAATGTATGTATAAGTAGTAATAATAATAATAATAATAATAACATTAATCGATAACGATAATAACTATTACTATCCTCGTAATAACATCATCAATTTATCAATAATAATTATAATACTAAATTTCATTCATTACCAATCAATTAAACCTTGATAAACTGATTGATGTATTAATTAATGCCGTCGTCAAATAACTAAATAATTATGATAATCACCTGTTCGTGCATTGGAAAAATCCCGCCAAAAATAATATCACCGTCAATTCGAATTAATTTTGAGCTGTTTGCTCCATTGTAATCACTTTTAATATTGCTATAAGCGTTGGTTAAAGAAAACACCGAAAATATTAAAAATATCCATAGTAATATTATTGAAATTTTAATTAGTGCACTCATCGGGCTACGCCGCTTTTGATTTTTCATTATTAATTATTTTTATTATTAGTCGTTTTTATAAATTATTTTTTTTTTTATACACTAATTTATAAATTATTGAATTTTATTATTTATAAATATTTTAAAAACATCGTCAACTTAGATTGCTTTTTTTTTTCTTTTTATAAAAGAAGATAAAATTTATTGAGCGCTTCTCTTTATAAAAACTCTTCTTAACACTTTACTTAAATTCAATTCAAGTAGCTCGTGATCATTTTGTGAATATAAATCACGTTCTGTTATTATTTATTTTTTTTTATCTTGATTTTCATTTATCGATGTATTTTTATTTTTATAATACTAATTTTAAATTATTTATTTTTTTTAGAATTATTGTAAATTTTTACTGATAATAATCAACATTATTTAAAATTATTTAATTCCGCGCGAGTAATTGGTTTATTTAAAAATTTCTAAAATACAGCACTTAAAAAATTTTTATCACTATTATTATTAATAATAATTATCCTTTTTTATTAATATATTTTTTTTTTTCCAGGACTTTAAAGAATTTTTTTCACGGTTTACTTTTTAAAAGACCGCAATTGTGATATAAATTACACGATCCACATGTGGAATGTCCACTTGATCACGTATGAGGTATACATGATAAATTACTGTAAAAAGAGACAAATAATAATAATAAAAAAAAAATTAGGATGAAGGTTACGAAGGATATTGAATAGAATCTGAGATATAGATATGGATATAACAAGTGTGTACCTTCACAGTGAAATTCGTGGAGCAAACTGATGCTGCGCTCATCGGGATTCTCGTTTTGTTGTACCAAAATCAACGAGTTTGCGCAAATGCAATCATTGCTTTTTTAGATTTTATTTTGTTTCTATTTCACCAGGTACATATCCTGAAGCTGGTATTTTATTCATTGTACCGTATAATTTCTCTAATACGTATAGAAATAGAAGTGCTACCTCCAAACGTTTGTATAAGTATCTACCTTCATACAAAACAGCCCATCGTGTAGATTACTCAATTAAATAACGAACCAACGTATACAATAAATAATAATTACAAAAAATAAACAGTAATTTCAGTATCCAATTACATTCTTTTTTATTTAAATAATTAGTGTCAATATTTGATATCATCTTCTATCAATCAATCTTTAATTAAATTTCAAATTAAATATTATCTTCAGATTTATTGATATTTTTTTTCTATCTGATTATTATTTATTAATTACTAAGATTATGGAGCTTAACAGATACAATGATACAAAATGTGATTATTAGGCAATTATTGTCTAATAGATTTATCTATAATCAATCTGAAGATACATAAAATATATTTAGAAACTTATTAAATATTTGGACGTGAATAAGTATCGATTACACAGGTTAATATATTAATTAACGGCTCAAATTTATTTTTTATCTCTAAGCTCATTAAATGCACTGAGAGAATTTTTTTTTTTTTTGCAAAAAAATACACATTTTAGTGTGAGAAATTAATTTTGTGGAAATTTTGAACAATTTTATTTCTTAGCTAAAAAAATCAATATTTTTCTTCGAGTAACTTTCTTGTTGAAAAAAAGTTGTCTAGATTTGGAAAAAAAAAAAAAAAAAAAAACCAATTTTAGATAGACAACTTGGAAATTTTGATCCAAAATTGTTTTTTCCTAAATTTAGAAAATTTTTTTTCGAAAAAAGTATACAGTAAAAAATTTTGCGTCATTGCGTCAAAAAATTTTGTGTTCAAAATTTTTGTTTTAAACATTTAGAATTTTTATGTGTTAAATTAACACAGAAAAGTTTTAAATTAAAAAAAAAAAAAAAAAAAAAAACCAATTTTAGATAGACAACTTGGAAATTTTGATCCAAAATTGTTTTTTCCTAAATTTAGAAAATTTTTTTTTCGAAAAAAGTATACAGTAAAAAATTTTGCGTCATTGCGTCAAAAAATTTTGTGTTCAAAATTTTTGTTTTAAACATTTAGAATTTTTATGTGTTAAATTAACACAGAAAAGTTTTAAATTAACACAAAAAAGTGTTAAATATTTAACACTAAGTATTTTGATGCATTGACGCAAAATTTTTTACTGTGTAGATCTACAAGAAAGCTACTGTGAAAATAATTATGATTTTTTGAGCTAAGAAATAAAATTTCTTACAAAAATGCCTTTTTTTTGTAAAAAAAATTTTTTCTCTCAGTGTAAAAAAGACTATAAAATATTTGCCACAAATTTCTATTATTTAAATTGTAAATAAAGCTACTCTGCTAACTGTTTAATTTTGTAAATAAAAATGAGTTCTGACCAAATTTATATGTATAAAGAAAAAAAAAATTATGCAATCGGGGAAACTTAAGCCTGTCAGAATAACATTACCCGGCTGAAAAAAAAAAAAATATTTAGACGTGACTTGAAAAACTTTTTACTTCTTATAATCAACAATGGCTTAGAATCTAAAGGAAAGGTACTCAATATAATGATAAAAAACGCTTTCATACTCTTAAGGGAGAGTCTGAATTACCCTTCCAAGGCCTAAGCTACGCCAATATTCTATGATTCGGAAAATCTATGCCTGAAATTACTCTGAAAATATAAAGTCCTAGCTCGTATATAAAGAAAATTACTTAACGAAAAATATAAATTGCAAAAGATATCTCGGTCGTAAGTTAAATTTGAAATTCTTACTCTTCTTTAAAAGTTTTGTCGTAAAAGTTCAATGTTATGAAAACATTCAATTTCCGATATATATTTTTTTTTATTTTTATCACGATGAATAAAAATTTCGTTGTTTTCATAAGATTAAATCAGAACTTTAAAGTAAAGTATGTGATAGCGTGGGACTGAATATTGAAGATATTTTGAATTTTTCGAGATGAGAAGATCCTAGAAAGTGCATACACTTTTAGTGAAATCGATGCGATAGTTTAATGGGTTGAATTTTTTACTTGCAAATTTTATTTTCAAACGTTGGAATTATTATTTCAGTCAGAATATTAAAATTTATTAAATAAATCGACAGCAAGGTATTAAATTTTTTTATAAAATATTTGATAATTAAATTTTTATTCACGGTTTAATATTTAAAGTTTTTCAGTATGAATTTGAAATTATTTATATTTTTCAAGCATTTTTGGAATTATTTTCGCCTGTAATTTTATTAATTATCTCTTTCGTATATTGATAATTATAAAAGGAATCAGGTAAATAATTATTATTATTGTGTAATATTTTAAGCGCTTCAAAGTCTTAATCTTTTACTGTAAAAATGTGGATTGTAATAATTATGATAATAAATAAAAATAAATTGAACCAAGTTTGTGAATAGAAGAAAAATAAATCAATGTTATGATTTATTTTTAAAGTTATTTTCTATGAAAATAAAAAATTTAATTTATCGGGAGAAATTACATTGAAAGAGAAATATCATAACAGTCAGGAAAAATAAAATTAAAATAATTGTTATTTGATATTTTAGAGTGATAAATTTCAATAATTCTATTTTGTTTTTGTTATTGTTACGTAATAAATGGGTATTATACACAACGGATCTATTATGTATACATTTACACAAATATTGCAAAATCGATGAGAGTGATGTATAAATTCGAAACTCATAACACAAAATATTTATAAAATGTAAGATGTATTTTTAATTTTATAGTTTTTTACATCTACTTATTTCTAATGACTAACCATGTTAATCTATAACAATGCTGAAATATTAAAACATATGTCTTTATAATTTTAAGTCATATGTATGGAAAAATTGCGAGAGATCCAGCATGCGTAGCAAGCCATTATTTATATTTTTAAATACTGCTAAGATTTTTTTCTATTTTTAAATTGATGATATTGAAATCAGCAGATACTTATCTGATAATTTTTAGTTTTATTTAAAAAATAAATTAGTACCAAAAAAATAATTCATAAAAATTGCATTTATAGTTTTTTAAAATTTCTACATGTTGAATTTTAATTTAAATATTTTTTTGCAATAAATCGACGTTCTAATTAGCAAATTGTCTAACTCCATTTTAGAGAATCTTCCATTTGTAAGATAAAATAATTAATTAAAAATTTATTATCACTTTAAAAAATCATTTAATATTTATTAGAGGTACATACAATATTTTGGTTTGGATCATTCAAATAATTTATAATTGAACTATTGCTGGATCAAAATGTTGAAAAATCACTCTCTATACAAAATAAGAAGTTAGACCAATTCGGCTGCCCAATTTTAAAACACAGTAACTGCAAAATTTTTATACCTAATTGTTTTTAATATTGTTGCATTTTTTATAACTTTTAGACCTTAATTTCACATATTTTTTCTTAAAAATATTTATATTCAAGTATTTTCTATTCATAAATCGAATTTTTCATCAATTTGGCAGGCAAACTTTTTTTTAAATAAGAAAAATTAAAAAAAATTTTTAAATGTTAGTTACTGTGTTTTAAAATTGGGCAGCCGAATTGCTAATTAGACCGTCGAAATTATTTATTGAGTGAAATTCTAAAAATAGTCAGATTTCTGCTAATTTTAGTATCATTTAAACTTACATATATAAAATATGAATTGTTTTTGATACTAAAGTTAATTTGAAACTTAAAAAATTACACTTATAGTTTTTCAAGTTTTTTACAAATAAGGTTTTTTTTTATTTTCTTTTTATTTGTCGGCTTACTTTTCATAATTTTTTGACAAAAATGAAAAAACACTGGTTAAATGAAATAAAAAATTATTAAGTATTTTACAACAAAGAAATTATTATGAAAAAAATTTCACATGTGAAAATAAAAAAAAAAAATTATTAGTGTGAATTTTTTAAAGCATTTTTTTATGCTTATTGATTTTTTATAAGAATTAAAAAAATTGATATTTTTAATTTAACTTTAGTATCATAAATTTAAAAAAATTATATTAAAAAAAAAAAAAAAAATATGGATTGTTTAGTAGTAATCGAATATTTGCATAAATAACAGCTGATATCCTTCAGGCAAATATCACAATTTA